TGACGAAAATCTACAAGATCCGCGAGCAAATGATTATAGGCCTGTCGGACATAAGGCTATGAGAATAATCCTGCCTGACGGTCCGCAAGATCCTAAAGATCCTCAGAATTTAATAATTAATACTTTAAAGGATTGTGTAGCAGAAGCATCTTTATTAGATAGGTTTGCATCATTTGTATCTGCATACTATATATTTGTTGGCATATTTATTGGAATTGCTGGGGCAACTCAATGTATAGAAGATAAACAGGACTGGCCATATATACCACTGCTATTTATTTGGAACCTACCTGTGATTTATTTTAGAATAAAATATGGATTAGTAGTTATTAAAGAGCCAATTTTTAATGGTAGATTATTCGTTGAAAGCTACAAAGAATGCGAACTTTCTGACAAACAAAAATATGTTTTGTTTGTAGCTTTAATTTCAATATTACTTCCTTGGCCTACAGTTGTTATTGCATATTTTACTCGTCCAGTTGGATTTTTCTGTCGAAGCAAATTTTTGACAATAATATGTTCTATATGGTCATTTAACAACATTGTAGCATATATAAGACATATAAATGGTGAAGGAGATGTTCATGAGTCTGGTATTATTGATACAATATTTTGGCTCAGTGGTGTAATTATATTAATAGGTTTGGGTTTCTTAAGTGTGTTAGCAGCTGATCTTGACTTGTGGGTATCCATATTTGGATCCTCTTGTTATGTTCCGTCTTCATGTTAATCAAGTTTGTATTTATTATTGCTAAAATTGCTAATATGGCATTTTATTTCGCTTGTCGGCACTCATCTCGTCAAAAATCTTGAAGTGACACCAGCGCTAATATAATTCTGTAATTGACAATACGTAATAGTAATCATACTTCTCGATCTACTTATTTCATAATCCGATTTCAATGGCATGATTTTTATTATTACATTTATTAATAATAGATTATGTATCAGAAAGTTTAACTTGTCAGGAGCAAAGATTTAAAGAGAAAACGATTACAACATTCTTCTTCAGAATCCGGTATTGTTTGTATTATTACATTTATTATGACATAAATATTGTATATAAATATCGATATGATGAAAAATAAAGAAAGTCAGTTACTCAATAACATATTGGTCAAAGTCGATAGAACTATATATTATAAATTCCTTT